CCCCAAAACCCCAAAACCCCAAAACCCCAAAACCCCTTTGAGATTTTGATGAGTTGAAAAAGAAATTTCTAACCCTTAGATAGCCTTTGCTCAAGAACAGGTTTGAAATAGGGGTGCTTCATAGCCTCAGTGGGCATTATCCTTTCAGCATGATCATATCGAAGCAGTTTGTCGAGGAAGTCTATAGCGTCGTCGGATAATAGTTTTGGATCGGATTTTTCAATGTAATATGACCAAGGTTTTCCTTTATGTTTCATTCATTTTTCTACCAAGTCCTCATCTAAAAATTAATAAAGCTCAAATTATCTCTTACCTAAATCAATTTCGTATTTGTCAAGGTATTCGATAAGCCTATCTGCACCTAAAATTCTTGCTATTTTCACTAACTGGTCACGATTATCATCTCCCTTGAAGAAGGGTTCTCTTTCAAAGATAATGCCTGCGAACATACAGCCCAAGCTCCACATATCAAGTGCATAGTCATACATCTGGTAGCCAACGAGTAGTTCTGGTCCCTTGAAATACCTTGAGGCAACTCGAACATTATATTCCTGGCCACGCTCATAAAACTCAGCTAGTCCCCAGTCAATAATCCTGACTTTCCTCTTTTCATGATCTATCATAATATTATGAGGTTTTATATCTCTATGCATGATGCCTTTTGAATGTCAGAACTCAAGTCCTCTCAGAATCTCAAAAATATATTCTCTTACATCATAATCAGTAAACTTTTTATATAATTGTCTGAAGTTCATATCCCCTGTATTTACGTACTCTGTAATCAAGGCTGGAGTCTTAGTTTCCTTATCACGAACAACATCGAGGAGCTTTACAATATTTGGACCTCCGGCAAGTGTCTTTAGTACACGAATTTCCCTCCTAATCTTCATCTTCTTGACAGGTTTGAGTATTTTAATAGCGACAAAGTTGTCATTATCAGAGTTGATTCCTTCGTATACATCTGAGTACTTTCCACGACCAATTTTCTTTATGAGCTCATAGTTATCTTGATCGCTAGTGAATATATTCTCCATGAGCTCATCACTAGTTTCGTTCTTTTCCATTATTATTCTATAAAAAATTATTTACACGGGGTTTTGGGGTTTTGGGGTTTTGGGGTTTTGGGGTTTTGGGGTTTTGGGG